TGGCGAAATTAATATAAGCTCGATAATGCATTACAAACCTAAATACTTAGTTACTTGTAACCTGTTTTCAACGCTTTCTTCAACATACATATCCTTGGCAGAATCAGATTTCCATCTACCATGTATTTTAAGAAGTCTTTCTGGAATCGAGTTACTACTATTACGTACCGCAGATGTAATACCACCAGATCTTAAACTATGAAGACCATAATCATTAGGGTTGAGGCCCAGCTGACTTAAGGTATCCCTTAAGATATCTCTACAAGTAGTATAAGAAATCTTTCCACTTCTCAGAGTATAGCTAGAACTACTACGGTGAAAAACAAGCGCTCTAAATAAAGGGAGAGAACTATATAAGTCAATACCAGATAAATCTAAATACCGTTGTAAAACACCAACAGGACAGTACGTAGACCTGGATGCACTAATAAAGACGAAGTTCCCTTCCCTATAAACATCTGTCTTACTACGAGGTACAAAGATTCTTATATAATCGCTGTGAAATTCAATATGCTTAGGAAAAATATTGCATAATTCGTCGTAACGAAAAAATCCTGCAAAAGCTAAAGAGCATAACGCAGCGATACGAAGATTCTTTAAATTAGCATCTTTCTTGTTATGAATATCTAAAATACTCCTTATGATTTCTGTGGTAATAGGCTTCTTTTTCATTACTGGCTGTGATTTTTGGCGTTTAGCAGATTCGATAATATTCCCGCAAAATTCACTATCCAAAGGATTACGATCCAAACTAGGGACAAAAGAATGTAACCATTTAAGGGCAGCATGGGCTAAAATTACTGAGGAACTAGAGGTGCAAGACTGCTGAACTTCAAATAAATATAGGGAAACAACACTAAGGGGAAAAGGTAACTGCATGTTGAAATGTCTAACTTTAGACCACTCCAAGAACTTTCTAATAACGCGAACGTAGGCTTTAGTAGTTGTATCCGCCCTGGACTTCAACATAACTTCTAAAACCTCATAAACGTTGATTGAAGAAAATTGTTGAAAGCCTTTCCAGGAATTACTTGATAAGATTACCTGGAAAGACAAGAACAAAGATATATAATAAAAGAACAAAAAAGATCCGTATAAAAATCGATCAATGTTGGGGCCAGTGCCACATAAGACGATAGACTATTGAATGGACCAGTGTCCCGTAAATCAAAAACCATTGATTGGGCCAGCGCCACATAAATCAACTATACACTGTTAAAGACAGCGCCACATGAAATGACAAACTATTAATTAGGCCAGTGCCACATAGATAAACAACATATTGCTTTGGCCAGCGCCACCAAATGTGAATAATCATTAGGCTAATGGACAGACCATCCAATAAATTACTCAGTAAATTTCAATCTAAAGGCAATAATATTTCCTGTGAAAAGATCAGACCCTAAGAGCGAATTAAGATTTCTTCCGCGGGTTAGAACCTCATTCCCGATATGAATACTGTGAGCCACAAGATAAGTACTATACTTGTGTGTAATTAAAGGCCAAAAGTGGGCCGAAGGCCAAAGAGGTACAACGAGCGTACCAACGGCCTGCTAAGATTTCAAATAATGCAATACACGTGGGACGATACCAACTGGAGGGACTACTAGGCAATTTTCTCCTCGAAGAGACTGAAAGAAAAAATCAACACCCGAAGTATTGGGGTTCCAAAACCTCAAAAAATATCTGGGGAGCTTGTGATTATAATAACTGGCAAAATAATCAACACTATGCGGGCCCCACCGACCATCAAGAAAAAGAGAAAATTCGTCAGTAATTTGCCAATCATCAGTATCAATTAAACGACTTATATAATCAGCTTGCTGATTCGAAGTGCGAGGGATCCATTGCACTTCTAAATGAATCCCCGATCGAATACAAATATCAAAAATCCTTCGGGCCATCTTATGCAAACCTAATTTCATGCTGCCCACTTCAACGATCTTAGCAGCTGCTTGGCTATCGGTAAACCACTTAACGTGTGATCCTTCCAACACTGAGGCAAATGATTGCAATGAAAACTCAATAACAGACAACTCTCTCCACGTTGAGCTTTGAACTCTCTCGTTCTCCGACCACATTTTGTGGCACACAAAATCATTGTTAAAGTCAATAATTGCTCCACCTCCGGTAGCACTGGCATCTGAATATACAAAACAACTAGGATCTTTACTTGCAAAGCAATACCTAGAGTTGATATTAACCATATTTTCCTTCCAAAAATACAGTTCTTCCTTACAGTAATCGTCGAGACGGAATATAGAATCCCAGTTATCTTTGCACAAGGTGGACAAGACACAATGTCTGGTCATTATCCTGCCAATGTTACCAACTACAGGCCCGGTAGAAATAATTTGACCTGTGAAGGAGGCCAACTCTCGCGCAGACACTTTGAAATCGGCTCCAATAATATGATCAATTGTACTGATAATCTTAAGAATTCTTCTTTCTACAATTTTTAAAGTACCCAGTGCAGAATTCCAGGTTATACCCAACCAGTCCAATACTTGGGTGGGTTCCCATACCGATTTGTCTTCGTTAACGACAAAACCCGCGTTATACAAATCCCCCCTTACAGCTAGGGCCTTAATGCGACAACTTTCTCTATCCTGAACAATCGCCCAACCATCGTCCAAGAAGATGGCTATACAAAGACCCTGTATTCTCCAATACTTTTCTAAAGGCTTCAAAACCTCTGTGAAAACATAAGGGGCAGAGGAAAGACCGAACGGGAGCACAGTGAAAACATAAAATACTTCATTAACGGAAACAGACGCCCGCCATGAAAACCCCAGAAAAGTTTGATGCTCATGCGCAATGTCGATATGGTGATAACCGCTTTTTAAATCAAAGGAAAACATGTACGCGTCCTTCGCAAAATAAGCCATAGCAATTTTCCAGTCCTCGTACTTAACACTTTGCTTAATTAATGACTTATTGACATGGCGCAAATCAAGAATTAACCTCTTTTTACCGCATGGCTGTATAGAAACTGACAAGGGATTTACAACAAAGGGCTGCTCATTAACGATACGCACCCGACCAGAGTTAACAAGCTCAAGAACGGCTTGGTCCACGAAATCAGCATGAAGTCGAGCTGACTTATTATTTCCTAGCTTTACGGCCAACGGAAAACTGATGAACGGGAGCCTGTAGCCGTTTTCAATAATAGACAAAATAAAATCCGGAGCACCTATAGATCTCCAGAAACCTAAATTATTCTTCAGATTACCCTTAACACTTAATGAATGTCCGCTTTCAAGTTCGTAATTCTGTGTAATTTGATCTACCTGCGCCAAGTCATCTTCATTGCTTTGGTTGAGTTGATTGGCCTGCGGTTGGCTTGTTGTAGGAGATTCCAGGGCAAGAATTGTAGCTAGGGGACTGGTAACTTCCCGGCCAGAACATGGATCTACAGTCCTTGGCCCAGTGTCCAAATTTGCCGCATTTGAAACAGCGAAAGAAGTCGCCAGAAGTGTCTCTACGGCCTGAAAGATAACAGCAATGACGTAACCTGTAATAAACGGGAGGAGGGGTTGGGGGGGGTGGGGGGCTTAAACCAGAAAGATGAATAAACTGTATGGAACCGCGAGCGTGAATGGTACTCAAGAGACAACGGAGAGTATAAATACTAATAACTGGCCAATCAGGACATCAATGCAAAACAGAATGCACAATAGTGGGTGCGGCAGGTGTGAAACGAAAACAACTGCGACTAATTACTTGGAATAACAGCGGAAAATACATGTCTACAAGTTTCTAGCCTGCGTAATTGGCGGTTTTGTTCGGTACTAGTCAACTCTTTGAATGGTTTATGGTGTTCGTTCTTTCCATCATACAATTTTTATCAAATTTTATTTTTACTTATAATCTCTTTGTTTATGTACTAATTATTAATTGTTGATGTCTTTAAATAGACCTTAATCAGGGTTTAGTTACCGCTATCCCTCCCTTCTAACTCTTCATCTTTTTTCCTATTTCTTGCATTTTCTTTTTACCTGGACTCGACACAGACTGTGTATTTGAGTTTGAAATAGCTGTATTAGACAATATTCACACTGAATATAATTTACACTTCATCCATTAATATTCTACCTCTATACCTTCTCTTACTCTTTTTATGATTTTTATTTACGCAATACTGTTGCGGACGTAGCTGCATAGCAGTTTGTGGGTCCCTCACTATTGTTGTACCCTAACCCATTATGTATTTCATTTTGTGTTTATGTTATGTTACCGTTGGTTTAACTGTATTGCAGTTTATTAGTCCCTCAGTTACTTTGCTTAACCATTATCCTCACCTATTTTATGTTCAATTTTTACTTACAACATCCCCCGCACACACCCTCTACTCCTTCACCCACTGATTCTATCAGTGGAGGGGAAACCATGTATTTGGTGATCTCTTTCCCAACACCCGGCAAGCCACAAAGGTTGCTAGAGAGACTACTGGTTTTTTTTCCCTTTTTAACAAAGAAAGAACGATGTGTATCTACAGTAGGGGTACAACCTTTAGTTACTAGCCAACTCTTTGCGGGTTACGGGTGTTCATATTTCCATTCAATCCATTTGATATTTTATTTTGAACTAATTTTCCTTTTAACCTTTTTAACACAATCTACATACTCAAAAATATTTTAATTATCATCTCCCACAATTCACACCACTTTACATATTTTAACCATCTTCTCCCACATTGATACTTCATATAGTTTTCACTAATTCTTTATTATTATTATTATTGTCTCTATTATCACAGTCTTTGCTGGTGTTCTTTTTGCGCATCAGCCTGGCGCAAACCATGCACCTAGAGCGTCAGTCACTCAAGTCAATCATTCTGTTCATACACTGAGCACCTTTCTAAGGATTTGTGCAGATCCCAGCATGCAGATCTTTTGAATCTCTGTCATAGTAGCTGTCTCTGATACTTTCTTGATGTTTTCTACCATACCCTTCTTCACTGTACCAAGCGCACCAACAACCACAGGGATCACTACGGTTTTCATATGCCACATTCTCTGTATTTCTAGTTCTAGGTCTTTGTACTTGCATTTTTTTTCAGTTTCCTTCAGTGCGATGTTTCTATCTGATGGAACAGTCATATCAATAAGTTTGCAGGTGGAATTCACTGAATCTTTAACGATGATATCTGGTCTGTTCGCTGTTATAGTTCTATCAGTATTGACTGGCATGTCCCACATGATGGTGATGTTGTTATCTTTATTGTGTATCACGGTCTCTGGTTCGTGTTCGTACCATTTGTCTGCAATCTCTATATCATGATCTTTACATATGCTCCAATGGAGATATGCTGCAGCATTATTGTGCCTGGAGATGTACTCTGTTTTGGCTAATACCTCACATCCAGATACAATATGGTCCACTGTCTCTTCATGTTGCGAACACAATCTGCATTTGCTCTCCACTTGCTGGCCACATATTATTTTCTGGTAGTTTCTGGTGTTTATTGCCTGGTCTTGAGCTGCAACAAGTAGTCCCTCTGTTTCTCCTTTCAAATTACTTGACAACCATTTGTTGGTAGTGACTGTGTCTACATGAGGTTTCTCTAGGATCTTTGGATACTGGCCATGCAATGCTTTGTTTTTCCACTTTTCTTCTTTCATTGACTTCATCCTGGACTTAAACACGTGTTTCAGGGCTTTAGCATTTTCAGAGGCAGATTTATCTACTCTGTTCTCAATCTCTGGCATTGTTACTTCCCTTTTGAATTTAGTAGCATTCTTGGATATTGAATTTTTGGCTTTAGATCTTTCATGTTCAAGCTTATTATTATTATTATTATTATTATTATTATTATTATTATTATTATTATTAATTTTTTGTAAAATCTTTTTTTGACTAATTTACTCTACTTGTCAATTGTTTGCATTAATATTAGATCTATGTAGGGGAGAGATATAATTTTGGGAAATTAGACGTGGTGTCTATCACACTCAACTTATTTTGCATCTTAGTCATTTTCCTATTTCTTACATTTCCTTTGTTATTTGAATATTCGTTCAGTCTTTTTTCTATTTCCTATATTTTCTTTTTTCCTGGAATCGACACGGGAATGTCGGGCATATGACCTGGTACCGGGTTAGAAACATTCCTGCTCAGTTGTGCTATAGCCCTGATGATTCACAACCATTAGGAGCCTTAGTGTTGATGCATCCACTGTCCCAATATACCCGGGTCTCTTAAATCTTTTCTTTCCTATTTTTCCATGTTCTCTTGTATCTGCAAATGATCTTTTTCTCCTTTCTGGAATTCTACACTGAAACGTTTTGAGAACGAAGTAATTCAGGATGGGTGTTTTGTTTCTCTCCCTCTTTCTCTCTCTGTCTTCCTATGGTACTTATTTTTATGACTTGAATCCCCTGTTCCGCTATTAAGAACAGCAACTGGTTTTTTACCTACTTTCAAAGTTTTAAAGAAGGAAATAATATTATGGGCGATTCTATTTTCTGGTTGGCAGTTTATTTGTTAAGTAGGGTAACTCCCCTTTTCCCTGCCATTTTCTTTTTCATACAGCTGGGATAAATTCGTATCCAGACTCTTCTCATTTTGTACATCATCGTGCTGACGATTACCTATATGGTGTGAGCACCCAAAAGTTTTTTTTTTTTTGCTACCTTTTGCGGGCCCACCCATACCAAGAGGAACTTTTGTCTACTAGCTGAGGAGTTTCCATTTATTTTGCTCCCTAATTTGTCTGTTGCAGAGGTTATCTGATGTATTTTAGAGTAAGAGTTTGAGAAAGACCCGGGGGTTTTGGTTGGCCACAATTTAAGCTGGAATAATCACGTTGATCTTATCTCCTCGAAAGCTCAAGGA